TGTTCAAATTTTTTGCCCATTGTTTTCATTGGATTATCTTATTTTTAAGTTGCAAGCTTTATGTATTATGGATACAAGTCCTTTCTTTATCTAATATGTATTTTAAAAATATTTTATGCCAGTCAGTGGCTTGTCTTTTTATTTTCTAAAATGTATCTTTCAAAAAGTATAAATTATTCATTTTGATGAAGTCTAATTTATCAGTTATTTATTTTATGCTACTTGTGTTTTGTGTTCTATTTAAAAAAAATGTGTCCAACCGAAAATCATGAAGATTTTCTCAAAATGTAGTTTTAGGTTTTACATTTAGATTTATAATTCATTTTTAGTTAATTTTTGCATGTGGTATGACATAAGGGTCAAGGTTCATTCTGTTCCATATGGATATCCAGATGTTCTCACATGATTTGTTGAAAAGATAATCTTTTCCCTGTTGAATTACCTTGACACCTTTGTTGAAAATCCCATGATTATATCATACATACACACATTTTCTCCAAACTTTTGTAGGATTTTTATTGGGATTTTGATGAATCTGTAGATAAAGTTGATCCTGATGTACATCTTAATAACACTGAGGATACCCATCATGAATGTGTTATATAACTGCATTCAATTAGATCTTTTTAAATGTTTTTTAAGAAATATTTTGTAGTTTTCTGTGTACAATCTTGTACTATTTTGTTATAGTATTTATTTGGATTGGATTTTTTTATGCTTTTGCAAATCGTTTTTAAATTTAAATTTCTAGTTTTTATATAATATGAAATTGATTTGTGTATATTGAACTTCATGTATCCTGTAACTTGAGACTTAATAGTTCTAATATAATTTTATAGATTGTTGAGGTTTTCTATAGATGTTTATGTCATCTGTGAATAAAGATAACTTTATTTTTTCTAATCTATATGCGCTTTATTATCTTTGTTTATTGCACTGGCTATGTCCCCTGGTACAATGTTAAATATGAGTGGTAAGAGCAGACACGTTTACCTTTTTCAGATCATAGGAAGAAGCCTTCAGTTTTTCACCATTTAGTATGTTGTAAGCTGTAGATTTTTATTTTTATTTTTTATTTTTTTATTGATTTTAGAGAGAGAGGAAGGGAGAGGGAGAGGGAGAGAGAGATAGAAACATTGATGAGAGACAACATTGATTGGCCACCCACTAAGGATTTGGCCCACAACCTGGGCGTGTGCCCTGACTGGGAATTGAACTGGTGACCTCTTGATGCATGGGTCAATGCTCAACCCCTGAGCCACACTGGCCAGGCAAATGTAGATTTTTTTATACATGCCCTTTTTCAAGATGAAGAAATTCTTTTCTCTTCCAACCTTACAAAACATTTTTCTTATAAATGGGATTGAAATAATGCTTTTTAGTGTGCATTGAGATGATTATATGGTTTTCTTCTTTAATCTGTTAATATGCTGAATTACCTTATTTTGAAATGTTGAATTAATCTTACTTTCCTGGGATAAATAACAGCTGGTCATGATCAATTTACTTTTTCCATATTACTGCTGTTTTCTTTTTCTAGCTTTATTGAGCTGTAACTGACATATGGCATTTTGTAAGTTTAAGGTGTACAGCATGATGATTTGATATATGCACATACTGTGAAATGATTACCACAATGAGGTTAGTTATCTTATCCATTATATCATATAATTAACATTTTTTTTGTGGTGAGAACTCTTAATAATTACTTCCTTAACCACTTTCAAGTATACATTATTGTAAATATAGTCACTATGCTGTACATTGGACCCTCAGTTTGTATCTTGTTACCCCTTTATCATTTTGGCCCCTATCCCTTCCCCTAGCAACCACCAGTCTACTCTCTGTTTCTATGAGCTTGGTTTTTGTTTTTTTTTTAGCACCCACATATAAGTGAAATCATACAGTATTTATCTACTGTGTCTGGCTTATTTCACTTAGCATAATGCCCTCCAGGTTAATCCATGTTGTTGTAAATAGCAGGATTCCCTTCTTTCTTACAGATGAATACTATTCCAGGGTATGTATATGCATGTGTATGTGTCCATCCATCCAACATTTTCTTTATCCAGAAGTCCATTGATAGACACTTGGGCTATTTCCATGTCTTTGCTGTTATAAATAATATGTCAGTGAACATGGAGATGAGATTTTGTTTTCTTTGGCTATATAATATATCCTCAGAAGAGGGATTGCTGGATCAATTTTATTTTTAATTTTTTGAGGAACCTCCATACTCTTTCCCTAGTAGCTCTGTCAGTTCACATTCTCACCAACAGTATACAAGGGTTCCTTTTTCTCCATATCCTGGCTAGCAGTCTCTTAATCTTAATAAGATATGAGGTGATATATCACCTTTTCATGTACTTATTGGCTATTTTGTGTCTTATTTGGGAAAATATTTATTCAAGTCCTATATTGATTTTTTAAACTGTAGTATTTATGTTTTTACTATTCAGTTGTATGGGTTTCTTATATACTTTGGATATTAACCCCTGATTAGATATATGATTTGCAAATATTTTCTTCCAATCAGTAGGTTGCTATTTCATTTTTTGATTGTTGCTTTTGCTGTGCAGACACTTTTAAATTTGATATAGTCCCACTTGCTTGTTTTTCCTTTTGTCACTTGTGCTTTTGATGTCAAATCCAAAAAAATTGTCGCCAAGTCCACTGTCAAGGCAATGTTGTTTTTCTCTTGCTACTTTAAGTTCTATCTTTATCTTTGATGTTTATCAATTTAGTTATAATGTGTTTCAGTGTAGGATTCAACCTACTTGTAGCCCTTTGAGCCTCATAAATCTGAATGTTTATTTCTTATCCAAAGTTTGGTTAAGGAACATTATTTCTTATTTTTATATTTTTATTTTTTAAAATCCTCACCCAAGGATATTTTTCCATTTATCTTCAGATAGAGTGGAAGGGAGGGAGGAAGAGAGAGAGAAAGAGAAACATCTACGTGGGAGAGACACATCGATTGGTTGCCTCCTGCATGACCCCAACCAGGGCTGGGGACCGAACTGCAATGGGGGTACGTGCCCTTGGCCAGAATCCAGCCTGCGACTCTTTGATCCATGGGCCAACGCTCTAACTGCTGAGCCAAACTGGCTAAGGCAAGGGACATTGTTTTTTAAAATAGACTTTCTGCCCCTTTCTCTTTCTCTTCTTCAGGGATTTCCATATACATTGTTTCTCTTTTGTCTCATAAGTTCCATACATTTTCTTCACTCTTTTTCATTCTCTATTCTTTCTTGCTCTCTAACTAGGTAATTTCAAATGACCTGCCTTTGAGTTCACTAATTCTTTCTTCTCCTTGATTGAGTTGTTGAAGCTCTCTATAGAAATTATTCATTTCATTCAGTGACACTTCAGCTCCAAGATCTTTGGGTGTTTTTATTTTTAATGGTTTCTATTTCTTTGTTGAACTTCTAATTTTGTTTATGCATTGTTTTCCTAATTTCATTTAGTTGTCTGTGTGCTCTTGTAGTTCACTGAAGTTTTTTAAGAGGATTGTTCTTAATTCTTTGTCAGATAGTTCATATCTCCATTTCTTTACAGTCACTTATTGGAGGTTTATTGCTTTTGGTGATGTAATGCTATCTGGTTCTTCATGATATTTGTATTCATGTGTAGGTATGTGCACGTTTGAGTACATGGTCTCTTCATGCAGACTTTGTTTTGGCAGGAAAAGACCTTCACCAGTCAGCTCAAGGGGTACTGGATGAGTCAGCAAGTAGTGTCTAAAGGCAGGTGGAGCTTCCTATTGTGTTCTCTAATTATGTGAGGCCGCAGCATCTCCGAGATTGGGATTGGGGTGTTGTAGGCTGGGCTTTCTCGTTGGGTGGGGCTTGTGACTGGGCTCCATGTTCAAGTGGGACTGCTGGGTGGGCTCCCTGGTCAGGGGGTAGCTATTTTCCATAGTTAGGTAGGGCCACTATATTCTGTATTCACCTCTGGTCAGGCAGGCTTTGATATTTGGCAAGGCATTGTCACCAGTTGAATTCTGTGATGGGGCACGGCTGCAGACTATGCTATGCAGTTGCTTCTGGTTGGGTGTGGCCTCAGGTTGTGCTCTCTGACCAGATGGTGCCACTAGCTAGACTGCACATTCAGGTGGGGCCATAGGCCAGGCTTCTTGGTCAGATGGAGTCTCATACTATGCTCTGAGATCAAGTAGGGCTATAAGCTGTGCCCTGAAGTTGGGCAAGGCTACAGTTTAGGCTTTGTGATTAGGTAAGCTGTTGACAATCCTGTCCTGTTGGTTGAGGTTGCTGGCTTGGTGATTCTTGCTAAATTTTAGCTCTTGAGGACATGGACAAGGTTGGGGCCTAGCTGAAAAATAGCTCAGAGGAGCCTTACTAGAGTTTGGTTAAAGAGAGAATCTTTATCACTGGATTCAATTTTCTAATATGTTTAATGGGTTTCTGCTCTATGTTCCTAAGGAAAATTGATTCACAGTTTTCTTTTTGTACTGTCTTTGTCTGTATTTGGTGTCTGTTTTATGGCAACATTTACTTAGTGTTTTAGTCCATTTAATAAATTTTGCTACTTTTTTCTTATTTTTAAAAATTATTTGTATTGCTTATGTGCCAGTTTATTTCTGTCTTTTTAAAATCACTTATCATTAAATGCATTGAATTTTCTTAGAATAATTATTGGTAAGAATATTCTGTGGTAGGGATGACATGAAGGAATTTAGTTTTGCTTGTTTTTTACAATGCAATGATTTCTTTTTCTCTGCTACTATATAGCCTTTTTGTAGATAAGCTAGTTGTATGATATTTTTGAATATGAAATCTAGAAATTCTATTTGCCTCTTAATTCCAATGAAAATGACAGTTGGAGTTGTTACTGTTGGTGGTTTTTGTTTGTTTATTCATTTTTCTCCTTTGCTTTTAAACTATTCCCAGGAGGAGAAGAAAATACTCACTTAGCCATGCTTATACCAGAAATCTTGACTGACTTTGGTATTGATTGTAACAATTTTTTTCCACTTGCAGTTATAAAAAGTTGATGTCTCTGAAAAGAACTGATACTGATGTAAGACCGAAGATCAGTTTAAAATTTAGTACAAAAGGTATTATTTTATTTTTATATGCATCCTATTGAAAAGTATGTTAAAATTTTTTACTTATTCTTTAGAGTATAATGCCATATGCAGCCATGTGTTTCTTGTGTTTGTCATCCACTGGGCTTAGATTTACACTAGCAAGCATTACTTGGTATAGGCTAGAACTCATGGACAGAAAGGTCAGCAGGTGTATGGCACCATACCTTGATATTCTATATAGAGGTTTGCTAGTCTAGTGCATAGCTGTGACTTCACAGTGAAATTGGACTTCAGCAGAGTCCTTAACAAATCCTCTTCCCTTATTGCATTCCCTGTTTATAGAGTAAAATGGAAGAAATGAACATTTTGGGCTCAAAACCAAATAGTCTAAACTTAATTTCCAGCTATTTAGGAATGTGTGCTAGTAAATGCCATCTGCTCAGCTTGAAGACTTTAAAGGCTTCTAGCCCCATGGAAGAATAGTTGGGTGGCATTCCTTCTTGCTAAAGGGAATGGATACCCCTGATCCCAGCCTTATTTGGCAACCCAGAGAAACCTCCCTGGGTCATCTGCTTTGTAACCTTGCTTGTCTCCACAGTGTATGTCAAATATCAAGGAAGAATAGTGATTTAAAATTCTGTTGAAACACAGAATCATGAGGATAAAATAATAAAGCTGCATTTTATGATAAACATTTTATTTATTAAAATTAATACAACAAATATACCATCATAAACCACATTCTTACTACTTTCTCATTTATCTCAGTCTACTTTCTTTCATTGGAAGTGCTATTAATCCAGAAAAATACCAGTCTGATCTCATGCTTTATTTCATTTCATTGATAAATAACCACTTAATCATTGCTCTCTTTTTAAAGAGGGTAAGAACATGAGGTTCATTATATAAGTGTGTCTCAGATTTGAATAGCTATTTATATCATCTGGTGATTTTGTTAAAATGTTAGGTACCAATTAAATAGCTGTGGGGTGGGGCCTGAGAGTGTCCTTTTCTAACAGGCTTCTGTGTGGATGCTGATGCTCTAGTCCGTGGCCTACACTTTCTGTAGCAAGACACTATGTCACTTTATATTTCTTGATATAGTTCTGTGTTGTCTAATATGGTAGCCACTAGCCATATGTGGCTATTTAAATTTAAATTTAAATTAGATAAAATTTTAAACTCAGTTTCTTTGTCAGACAAGCAGCATTTTCCTTGTTCAGTGGCTAGTGGACAGTGAAAATCTAAAACATTTTTATAAGTTCTGTTGGACAGTGCTGATTAAGATAACAGATAATTGCCTAAATAAAGTATAATTAAACACTGGCAGATATCAACCATTCTTGACAATCTTCAGAATTGAAAGCCTGATACTTTTATGCCATTTGGTTGCCAAAGCTCATTTACTTGAACAAAACCCTGGATGGTTGAAAGGCTTCTGTGATTAGTCTTTGTGATTACTTTTGCTTGGGGATATAATGTTTTTGTTTGAGTTTTTGACAGCAGCATATGTATTGAGCACTGGCCGTGGCAAAGCACTGTACTGTACTTTATTCTTTTGTACTAGTCCCTGCCCTACAGGAGCTTAGCATGTAATATGGGAGACCACTTAGGAAAATAGCATTAATGTGGAATGTTTTGACTTCTCAAAATTCATTTTCAGATGAAATGCCTATCTTCAAACTTGATTATAATTATTTCTATCATCTGCTTCATATAATTATTATTTCTGGTACTGACATTGTCCGGCAAATATTTGATGAGGCTCTGCCACCCCCTCTTTTGAAAAAAGAGCTTCTTATTCACAAGAATGTGCTGGAACCCTACTACAACCATCTTTGGACTAATCACCCTTTGGGTGGAGCATGGCATCTGCTTTATCCCCCAAACAAGGAGCTACCACAGTCCAAACAGTTTGACTTATACCTCCTGTTAGCTCTCATAAAACATTTGAATGTATTCCCTGCACCCAAAAAAGGCTGGAATATGGAACCACCATCTTCTGATCTCTCTAAGTCTGCAGACATCCTGAGGCTGTGCAAATACAGGGATATCCTCCTTAGTGAGATTTTGATGAATGGTCTCACTGAGTCACAATTCAATTCAATTTGGAAAAAAGTTTCAGATATTCTTCTGCGCCTTGGGATGAAGCAAGAGGATATTGACAAAGTGAAGGAGAATCCCATTGAGAATATCTCCCTTGATTACCATCAGCTGTCCATCTACCTAGGCATACCAGTACCAGAAATCATCCAGAGGATGTTATCCTGCTATCAACAAGGTACAAAATAATTATTTACTTCAGCCAGAAAACCTTCATTGAGTGTCTGCTATGTGCCAGACACAGTGCTAAGGGCAAGAGATTCAGAGAGCTCACATTCTTGAGAGGATAGACTCATCAAGAAGCTAATAGAAATTACAGTGCTAGAGATGTTCCAGAATATTTTGGGAAATCCTAGCCTTAGTCTAAAACAACTTTCTGGAAATATATAATATTTAAGGAATTCCTAAATCACATGTAAAAGTTAGCCAAGTGAAGAAGAGAGAAGAATGTTTCAGAAGGAATTAAGAACACAGGTATAGAAACATAAAAATATAGTGCAGGGAACTAAAAGTTTAACCTTAAAGTAAATTAAGTAGTAAATCTTAAAGAGATTAAAGTAGGGGAGCATTCATAGAATACATTCAGGAAGATTTTCTTATGAGGGGTTTATTTTATCAGAAAGGAATTGCTGAAGATTTTTAAGTATAGAGGAGTTTTATTCTACAAGATTAGGGTGCCTAAAACTATGAAATACTGGTACTGTGTGTTTCAAGGTACTCTTTTAGACATCATGAATGTGTGTTTCTCCTCCTTTTCAGCAGAATCTTGATGTTTATATGTTTAGCAGCTACCCAGTGGCCATGGGTAATTACAAAAATTAGATAACATTTATGCAAATATTTAAGGTCAGCTGTGGCCATTCCTAGGCACTGTTGATATGGAAAATACTTCAGACCTCCTCTCCCACATACCAAGATAGTCTCTCAGCTGTAACATGGAAAGCAGAGTTCAAGGCACATCAGCATCACTGAAACCCTTGTTATTTTGGGTGCCTGTTTCTGATCCCAAATTATTAATCATACCACCAAGTGAGCAACTGATGACCACGCTGATGCTATTTAAATGTACAACTTCCCAAGTTTCCAGTAATTGTTGAACAGGTCCAGATTTTTTTCAGAGATGATTGCTAGGCCCCCTATCCCATTCCTTTAAGACTCTGGGTTACCACTGTGTTTTTCTGCTTATCCTTTAAGAGCTTTCTTTGAGCATAAAAGAAGAGAATGCCAAGTTTGATGATAAAAGAAAGTCGGGCAAGGACCCTTGACTTATAAATTATAGGCATATATATATATATATATGTATGTGTGTATGTGAGTGTGTACATACACACACACAGACACATTCACTGTAGTAAGACTTTAAATAACAAAAACTCATGAGAATAAAGGCAAGTATTTGGGAAAGTGCTTTGAGCTCTAAATAAATTCAAGACATTTCAAGAATTCTCACCCAAGTAGTCTGAAGAGTTTATTGACCAAGTTCCTTTAATAGAGACTTTCCTAACATCTTATAATTCTTTCCTAGTAGTTATTACAGTTGCAGTTTTCATTTGTGTTATCTGATTATTTGATTAATATTCGTTGTCCCCACTAAATCTTTATGAAGGTTTCTTTTTTTTATGTACCATTCAATCTCTAGAGCCTGATATAATATTAATGTGCAAGGAGAATGGAGTGTGCTGATCAGGATAATTAATATTGCTAAAAAAGGCTGGAACTTTCAATGGAAATTTGACTTCAGGACCTTAAACTTTATAAATTGTACCAATTTTCTGATTGGTTAAAAGTGCTTATATTCTAGGCATTATATATCAAGAGCTATCAAAATTTTTGTTTACTTTTCTTTCCTAATCATGGGTTTATAATCTATGTATTATAATCTAATGATTATGCATTGTTTAATTAAACTGGATTAATGAGTGAAACTGATTATTTTTACAATTAGTTATAAAATTACTTGGTGCAGTATACATCATCTGGCTTAGTCTCAGTCATATATTTGTTGATTGCATTTGCAGTTGCACATCTAAATGTTTCCTTTATGTATCATAGGACTTGCTCTACAGTCAATAACCGGCAATCAACGTAAGTATGTGAAAAACAAAAAACAAAATGCCTAAGTGACCTTCATTTTGGGAAAGTTAAGGGATCACTATAAAAGTCTTACTTGGTCAGATAAACTGTATGAAAAACTGTAATTGTTAAAGGCTGAATCTAGTTTGAGCCTTTTTACTCTGCCTTGGTCTTAGTGGCTGTACTCCAGGGCTTACCCAAGCGTAGTGTTTTAACTTTGTGGCACCTACGGTGTTTCAGTAGGCAAAAATGCCTACCTGCTTACTCTACTTGCTCATGTATGCTACTGTTTAGCTTATGTAGCTTTTATCTAGTTAGCTATTGGTTGTTAAAGCTGTATTCTTCTTTTGCTGGATGGTGAGTGGCTATTTTTCTAATTTTCATTTTTGTGCTGTTTTTGAATGTAATTATACCGTGCAATTAAAATTTACTCAAGAAAACACCACCATGGGTTTTGTTTGGAGTAAATTATACTTAATAATATAGTGGGTTTTGTTTGAACCATCTGTAACCAGTCAGATGAAGTTCACAAGTTTTGACAGTAAATCTCTAGGGCAATATCAGGGAGCATGGTGTCAAAGAAGAGGTCGCATGATACAGGGTTGATACCCTTTCAAAACTTTTGGTTATGAAAAAGAAGAAATAAAGGGGAAAGTAGACCATCTAGCGTTCCCTCTGTTTTAGACTTGTGTCCTAAAACAATTCTACCTGTAGTGTAATAACAGGGTCAATGTTAGGATACTCAAAAACTTAATATGTAGAGTCAGCTTAAGTCCTAGAATATCTAATATGTAGAGTTTATCTAAGATAACAGTAAAGTATCTTAGCATTTGGGTTCAGGCCAGTATATGTACCTAGTATGTGGTTGTTGATAAATGGGCATTTTATTTTCATCTAGTAATTGAACAAAGTAAGATATCTTCTATTTCTGGAATGGTGTTTTAGGGATATATATATATTTATAATAGTGATAGAGGCTAAAATCGTGTGCATTAAAATTTTGAGTGTTTTGTCTTTAATATTTAGATATTGAAACAGAAGAATTACAGAATGAGGAAGAAGAACTAAGTCCACCTCTCATGGAGTACAATATAAATGTGAACTCAAACCCTGAAATACAGTTAGCAGAAATGAGTAAAGATGGGGCATCGATACCCAGTGAATCTTCAACAGAATCTATTAAAGATCTCCAGGAAGTATAAGCTCTCATTAATATCTGAATTAGAAGAACTAATAATCAGAGCCTTTAGTTTGTTGCATGTGCTATACTTAAAGGATCCCAGACAATCTTAGTTTATATTTATCACAGTGTTTACACAGAACTTAAATTGCAGTGATTCTTTCTCCAGTACTTTATTCCGTAATGTTTCCTGCCTAAACCATTCATTTTGCCAACATTTATTGAACATTTATTATGTGTCAGGCACTATACTAAACTTTTGAACATATTTCTTTATTCTGATTGATGGGAGTGGATGTGGGAGGTTAATAGAAAGTAGAAGAAAGCGTAGTAGAGAATAGAAGGAGAGAGAAAGGAGGAAAAACAGATATTTCAACACCATTTGCACAGAGGTAGAGTTAAACTTTTCCAGGTTGGAATTTTGTATTTCTTTATAGATGAGTGGTAACATTTATTATATAGTCACTAAATTCCTCCTAGGCTTAATTTTTAATCTTATGGACCTGAATATATTGACTTTTAAAAAGAGCCCCCTCCCTTGTTACTAGTGCATGCACATGTGGAAGTAAAAATTTGTGAGTTTTTTTCAGTGGCCTACTAACTGACATTGTCTGTTGTTCCATTATACATCAGTGATTTTTTTTTTAAGAGCAGAAGACTTAAATTCAAATGAAAAATCTCCATAGAGTTTAGAAAGAAAATATAATCTATAATATTAGAAGATAAAAGGTTTCAGCGGGTAGAGGAAACTTATTTTGCAAAACAACCCATTGTACAGTTTGATTTCATATTAAATAAAAGATTTATTTCTTACCTTTCAGGTTAAGAGTAAACCAAAGAAAAAGAAAAAGACTAAGAATAAAAAGGTAAGAGACTGTATTAGCATTATAATAGAGCAATATCTGATTATGAACACTTGTGTATTATATGGATTCACTGTTAGAACTTATAATTAAGTAGACATATAGCACAAATGACTTGAAAATGTCAATAGCTTATTGAATATAGGATTATAGAAAAGTCTATGTGTATTTTAGATTCTGAATGACTTAAATATACAGAATGCCTACTTTACTTCCCTGAATCATAATTTATACATTTAAATATACAAGTAAGAAACAGAAGTAGTCAGTTAGAAATTTCTTTAATTTCTGCATACCACTCATTTTTAAAATGACTGCTTAGTGTTTTAAAAACAGCTTCTCATCATATTTCTACTGGTATATTCAGAAGCATTTTTTGAAACCTTACAAAATCTTGATTTTTTTTGTCTAAGAGTCGGCCAACAATGCAATAATGTGTAAATATGGTACAAATGCAAAAAAGCTTCTTTGAAGCCTCTTCTTTGTTTATTTTCCAGATTACTAATTATAACACAGTTTTAGCAAGAAGTTTTTTAATTACTTGGAAAATTACAAGGGAAAGTGAACAGTCATTTTTGGGGGACTTGATTTTTTTTTTTTTTAATTCAGACTTTATTTTCTAATTAAAATTAAACAAGGAATAAATACAAGTGTAAATAAATGTAAACACCATTCAAAAATTCATAGCCTAGTAATATTAACATTTTCTTTTTAAATGTTAGCCACTGTCTAGTAATTTTTTTAAATTTGTTTTTCTTTATTAATTTTTTTTAGAGAGAGAGGAAGTGAGAGGGAGTGAGAGGGAGAGAGACAGAAACATTGATTAGAGAGAACATTGATTGGCCGCCTCTTGCATGCCCCCCACTGGGGATTGGGCCCACAACCTGGGCATGTGTCCTGGCCAGGAGTAGAACTTGCAGCCTCTTGGTGCATGGGTTTGATGCTCAACCACTGAGCCACACTGGCCGGATGGAATTATCTTTTTAACATCCTAAGTTATTTTTCCAATTTATTTTATTAAAAAATATTGAGATCCTTTGATTATAAGATAATTTTATCAAGATAAAATTTGGACTTTAAAAGAGAGATCTTTTACATCTAAAGTATGGGACCTAAAAATGCTTACATTTTTACATAGGATTATTTTATATAGAATATAAAATGGGGCTTCATTCATATACGCAATTGCTGTTATTTTAAGGGCAAAGAATTGTCTACTTGTAGTATAAGCAACCAGTTATAGCCCTGGCCGGTTTGGCTCAGCGGTTAGAGCGTTGGCCTGCGGTCCCGAGAGACCCGGGTTTGGTTCCCGCTAAGGGCACGTACTTCGGTTGCAGTTTGTCCCCGGCCCTGGTTGGTCGTGCGGGTGGCAGCCACTCGATGTGTCCCTTTCACGTCGATGTTTCTCTCTCTCTCTCTCTCCCTCTCACTCTATCTGTACAAAAATTGGAAAAATGTCCTCCGGTGAGGATAAAAAAAAAAAGCAACCAGTTATAAAAATTAAATCAGTCCAATTTTCTCATCAGGAGTTTTCATGAAAAAGTCTAACATATAGAAATTTGCTTGTATTAATAGAGTGATGACCAAGCCATTATATATGAAATTGTGTCCTCTGTTAATTATTTGTTTTGCATCAGTTCTACCTAACCATAGTTGAAATCCTAAAAACAGCTATCAGGGGCTCACTGGGAGAATGTGATAAAAAAGTAAAATTTTTGTAGCAAACAGAGGGTGCAGTACAGATAACTTCTGACTAGTATGTATAGAGACTTTGTGATTCCCCTAACATTTCTTTTTTTTTAAGATTTTTAATATATAAATCTTTTTTACATGGTGATTTTAAGGACTCTAGTATTTAGTGTAGGATTCTGTAAATGACAATTCCATGTACCCTTTCCCAAGATATACCATTAGGTCCAAACTCAGCCTCAATACTCACTTCCAGTATCGGAATGAATGATTTTCAAATGTGTTTCATTATTCAGTAAAGATTACAAAATCATTTTAGTGGGTCACAACTACCAATTTTAAAAGGAAATAGAATTAGTAAGAATAAAAATTTTTCTAGAGTTTACCACCCATTGTTTTAGTCAGGTCAGGCTGCTACAATAAACTATGATAGATTGGGTGGTTTAAATAACAAACATTTATTTCCTACAGTTCTGGAGGCTGGGAAGTCCAAGACAAGGTGCCAGCAAATTTGGTGTCTGATGAGGGCCCTCTTCTTAGTTTACAGACAGCCACCTTCTTGCTCTGTCATCACATGGTGGAGAAAGATTTGGTGTCTGATGAGGGCCCTCTTCTTAGTTTATAGACAGCTACCTTCTTGCTCTGTCATCACATGGTGGAGAAAGAAAGATTTAGCTAGCTCTTTGGTCTGTTTAATAACAGCACTAATTCTATTATGAGGACTCCACAACATCATCTTAACCTAATCATCTCTCAATGGACCTACCTCCATTTACCATCACATTGGGGTTTAGGGTTTCAGTGTATGAGTTTGGGGGAGGAGACACAAATATTCAGTTTATAACACATAATATGGGTAAGATTTATTTCATGAAACTTATATTCCACTTTTATAATTATATATAAAAATGTTTCTGTAAGTGCATTTATATTATTAAGTGAAATATATTTCTTAGTATGGTTGTGATTAAAAAAATGAGAAACACTGACCTAAATATAGTCAGATCACTATTCTGTATTAACATAGTTGATATAGATTACTAATTCTTGATGCTGTTTTTCAGAATAAGGAATCAAAAGAAGAGCAAGTGTAAGTATTAGTTTATTTAATTTTTAAAGTTTTCTTAGTATTTTCAGAATGTGCTTTGCTACTATGACACAACCTTGCCTTGGCAAGTGTTCTCATTAGAGAAGAAAAGACAGTTCCTTAGCTTAATAAATTGTCATTATTATTTACAGAAAGTGACAAAAAGTTAAATTATCATTTGCTTTGGTAGAACAGAATCTCTTGCCATTTTTCTATAAGGCTACTCAAGAGTCATTCAATGCTAACACTTTTATTTGAGGACTAATTTGGGTCCAGCATAAAAGCTTTTCAAATATAGTCTATATTTGGCTAACCACAACCCAAAGCTTAACTTTACTAAATAAGACTTAACTTTAAAGGACAGAATATTGATTGTCCCAATCATCTCTTTAACAAATGAGTATGTTTGATTTGTTTTGGTTTAGTTTGTTTAATGAACCCGAGGGTTGGTTGTCTGTTGTTTTTTAATCCTGGTTGTTAACAGTGAATTTTGAATTTTTACTGGAAGCCTTTTATAGTGTCTAAAGATCACTGTGAACTTTATTGTACAGCCATTAGATTGATGACAGTGCAGTAGAGGAAGGATGTAGGGGAGATAGTTCAATGAAGAGATCATTATACCCACCAAAATGTTTTTAACTGAAATTAGTACCTTTATAGAACTCACTGTGAGAACATGTTATTTTTAAAATGGTAATAAGAACATACATATTTTGTTAATTATAAAGCCATCAATTGTAGTTGGTATTTTCTCTGTATGATCCACTTGGTAAGTAAATAGTTCATCTTTCAAAATGGATTTTCACTTTCTCTATTAACAAGCCCCTAGAGCAGTGATTTTCAACCAATGTGCCACAAGAATTTTTAAAACATGCAGTAGTTTTTTAATCAGGGTCACTGATCTCTTTTCCCTTAGATTGTCAAATTAAAAAACGACAACAGCCAACACAACAATAGCCATCTGGTGTGAATGAATCAAAGTTATACCTTTTTTTTTTTTTTTTTTGTCACATTGGCAAAAAATATATTTTTTGGTGTGCTACAGAATTTTAGTAGTTAATGTGTGCCATGAGAAGAAAAAGGTTGAAAATCACTGCCCTAGAACAGTAGGTTTTTTTGTTCTTTTTTTAAGGCTGTGTCTGAATGCCATAAAATTAACTTACTAAAGAATGAAATCGTGTCATCAGTGATTCTGCTCATTTTGCCTGCAGTGTAGACCCAAACTTGTATGATCATCAAATCACCCAGGGAGGTTTGTTTTTACATGAGAATTTTCAAATGCATATAGAAGTAGAAAAAATAATATAGCTACGTTAGTATATCTACCTATTTTCTTGATTCAACAATTATCACTATTTTTCAACATTCGCTTCATTCTTTAACATTTTGTTCTTTGTTGAAGTGTTTTCAATCCCTAAGTTTATATAATTTTTTCTCTACATATTTTAGTTTGCCTCTCAGTAATATGAACATTTTCCTATATTATCACAGTGCTATTAATTATACTTTAAAATTTAGGGATAATCTTCTGGAACTTTTCAAAAATACAAAATTATCTATATTTTTACATTTGTTGGGATACCTGGGAAAATGTAATTTTTAAAAAGTTCTTCAGATAATTTGGAAAATTAATTTTGTTGGGGAACCAGTGGTGTACACAGTTGATTTCATTGAACTTTCCAAAATATTTGAATCATTCTAGAACACCTCAGTGATACCTAATGAGTGTTCTGCAAGCATTAGATATTGTTACTCTACAAGCATTAGATGTCAGTTTTTCTAGGTCTCAGTGGCCTAAAAGAAGTAATAATGTGCCTGGCTGGTGTGGCTCAGTGGTTGAGTGCCAACCCATGCACCAAGAGGTCGCCAGTTCGATTCCTGGTCAAGGCACACACCCAAGTTGTGGGCCAAATCCCCATTGCGGGGCATGTGGGAGGCAGCCAGTTGATGTTCTCTCTCATCAGTGTTTCTCTCTCTCCCTCTCCCTTCCTTTCTCTAAAATCAGTAAAGAAGAAAAATTTCTAAAAAATTAAAAACTGAACTGCTTACCATCAGAAATATCTTTAAAAAAGAAATAATAATGCATCCTAGAGTTACCTTTTTTCTCTCTATTCACTAATAAAATCAAGTCATTTATATCATCATGCTTTAAGTAAAAGTACTATTTTTTGTTAGCATTCAATGAGATTAGGAGGGAAATTTATAGCTACTAAATAGTAGGCCAACTGAAAGGATAGTAATAAGCATTTACCCTTTAGATACAGGTATAAAAATGGGTTAATTGCCATTGTACATATAGTATTTTTATGCTTTTTGCATGGTTCCTAGTGGCTGAAATCCATATTATCAGTACAGTTTTTTTTAAGGTCCTGTTACAAAAGAAACCTGCATTTAAAAATCTACTTTATGTTGCTATTTGTAGCTTTCTATTTAAATGTACACTGAACCTAAGTGCTGAAGTTGATTAAACCAACATACCTTTCAAGAATGTTGTGATAAAATAATATAGTAGCTGTGAGAATGCTTGTCCATATTTTCCAAAGTAATTGATATTAATAGTTTTTAATTACAATTTTAAAAATGAACTTTATGGTCTCATAGTTCTTGAAAACACTGGGATGAGCAGAATAGGTACTTTGATTGAGTGCTATTTCAAATACATTAAAATTCATTGTGATCTTCAAGAGAAATACACAGTCTGAACACTGTCTAAACTTTAGACCATGAGCCCTTCTGATGCTGAACATCTCATGAAACCACTGCAGTATTAATTTGGGGCACAGTGGCTTAGATGAAAAACTCCATACAATTCTAAAAGATTGCATTGGTTATGTCACTTCTGTAGTCCAAATATGGTAGAAAAGGAAGAGCAGTTGAAGAAAGAGCAAGCAAATCTACACCCAGGCAATAGATTTATGAAAGATGATGCAAGTGATGTTCAAGAAGATTCTGCAACTGAAGAAAAGTTCTATAGCCTGGATGAATTGCATATACTGGACATGATAGAGCAGGTAAGCCTGATTGGAGAGGGGATAGCTCTGCCTTCCTTCTTCCAGAAATAATTGTTAACTTTTGTTTGCCCCATGACTCTTTGAACAGCATGTTAGCATAGTGGTTTATTCTGTTTGTGAGGAGAAAGAAAAAAAACGGGAAGAGGGAGGGACAGAGGGATGAGAAAGGAAAAAGAACGTTAGGAGCTAGAAACTTCTCATTGTAGCCTTCAAGCCATTTCCTGGCTTTAATTATTGGATAGAGTTGATTACAACTGTATTCCTTTCGAAGGGTTTTTAGCTACCTCACAAGAGGGGGTAAAACTGGCATAATCCTATTGGATTAAATTTCATGAGAAAAATAGTTTTGTAAAACAAACCTATTTCATTGTTAAACCAGGTTGTTACCATGAAATGTTTACAAAAAGTATCAATGTACAACAATGTGTTTTTGGTTCCTTTCCTGGCAGTAGTCATTGCTAGGAAGTGCATATGAAGTGCATATGAACCTGATTTCAGTATTCTTCAGAGCACTTAATCAGACAAAGCATATGGAAGATTTTTTTTAATCTACTTAATTTACATACCCATGAGAATTCTATACTGAGGTAATTTTATAACCTGTTCCATATTTTAAATATAATGATGTGTAGTATATAGGAATATTGAATGTCTAAGAGTGTACAGTTAATACAGATTATTCTCTGACTGGTAGCACATTCATATAATTGTCATACCTTTTTTTCTCCTTTCCAATTATAATATTATGTAATGTGTATATTTTAACTGAAATGAAATATTCTAAGCTTTGGATGTCACACTAAGTTTAAATGTGTGTCCTTTGGTTTTCATTTAATAGCCTTGAAAACTAGAAGAACTTGCAAACAGGACAAAGTATTTTGTTTTTTATTTATTTATTTATTTTTTTAATCCTCACCCCAGGACATTTTTCCACTTTTTGTTCAGATAGAGTGGGAGGGAGGGAGAGAGAGAGAGAGAAACATCGACGTGAAAGGGACACATCGAGTGGTTGCCACCCGCACGACCCAACCAGGGCTGGGGACAAACTGCAACCGAGGTACGTGCCCTTAGCGGGAACCGAACCCGGGTCTCTCCATACCGCAGGCCAACGCTCTAACCGCTGAGCCAAACCAGCCAGGGCGAACAAAGTATTTTATATACACCATTCTAAAAATGTTATACACGTTTGAAAATAAGTTCATTCTTTTACTCAAAAAACATTTAGCATTTGCTTTGTCACAAGAGCTATGCTATGGTATGGACTCTGTGATCATAGTGTTTATAATATAGTGAAGAAATTGAACATTAAACTAAGGTATGTCATGTAATAATATTAAGTGCTTGGGCAATTAAGACTTCCACTCCTGTCTATGTGACCTTGGGCATGTTACTCAACTTTATCATCTCTAAAATGGATGTATTCATTGCCTACCTTGTATGATTTTTTTGACAGTAGAAATATTACCAAAAAAAAAAAGTGCCTAATAAATGGTAAGCATGGAGGTAATTTTATCCAATAGTAGTAACATCAGTGGACAAGTAACTCAGTAGACAAGTTACTATGGTATTATTTAGTGAATGCTGTGATTAGGGAGAGGTTGGATTTATCTAAACTAATCAAAAGGAGTGTTTGCATTGGGACCTATAAAGCATGAATAGATGATAGATAGCAACCTTAAATCCCCTTTGAATAACTAAAATATTAGTGCTTTCTTTAAAAGAGGAAAATAAAGCATGCATATGCCATTTCCTCAACAGGGCTCAACCAGCAAGGTATCTGCAGCATATGGAGAAACTGAGAAGGAAAAGCTTGCTCGACAAAAGCAGCTTTATAAATTACATTGTCAGTGTGAAGTAAGTACTTTTGCAATTAGATCTGAGGCAAATCACAGGTAGTTCAAATGTTCAACTTAAGAACCCAATTTTTTTTTTTTCTTTCAATTTCTGGTGATTTGAGTAGAAATAACTGAAATAGTATTTTTCTTTGAGCAGGATTTCAAAAGACAGTTGAAAGCAGTGACATTTCGGTGGCAAGAAAACCAAATGCAGATTAAAAAGAGAGACAAAATCATCTCATCTCTTAACCAACAAGTGGCTTTTGGAATCAATAAGGTTTCCAAGTAAGTACAAATCAGTTAAAAACAGAAAATTTTGGGTTTGCTCCATGGTGAACACTATCTTTTTTTCTTTTCTTTTTAATTGATTTTAGAGAGAGAAGAGAGAGGGAGAGAGAGAGAGATACAAACATCGATGAGAGAGAACATCGATTGGCCGCCTCCTGCATGCCCCCCACTGGGGATCAGGCTCACAACCTGGGCATGTGCCCTGGCTGGGAATTGAATTGGTGACTTGTTGGTACATGGGTGGATGCTCATTCACTAAACCACACAGGCCTGCCTGTGAACACTATCTTTAAAAATAATCCCTATGTAACCACTAGGTGGCATTGTGACTGCACATTAGGAACTGCCAACCACAGGACAGCACTTGCTTAAAAATGAAATCTGCTTTTGCCTTCCTTGCCAGCTGAATGGAAAAATAAGCAACTGATCACTCTATATATCAAGCTTTTCATATATTAGATGAACAAGTGTGAAAATAATAGAATTTCATGAGAAAGATAATTAACTTTCAGATCATGATTCTAGTTTGTAAAAAATGTTACCAGTGGCCCTGACCAGTTTGGCTCAGCAGTTAGAGCATCGGCCTGAGGACTGAAGGGTCACAGGTTTGATTCCTGTCAAGGGCATGTGCCTGGGTTGCAGGTTCAATCCCTGGCCCCAATCATGGGTTGGGGTCGTTTGGGAGGCAACCAATCGATGTCTCTAACACTGATGTTTCTCTCTCTCCCCGTTCCTCCATTCCACTCTCTGCAAATAAATGGAAAAAATATCCTCGTGTGAAGATTAACAAAACAACAACAACAAAAAATGTGATCAACGATTGGCTGTTTCTTTATAGCATGTAATAAACATATTCCTCAAAGACACCATGGAATCACTTGTGTGCTTTTTTATGTTGGTCCCTCAGAGAATTTGTGTTCTAAGCCCAAGTAAGTGAAAATAAATCAAATTCCTGGAGACTCTTCTCACTCCTATCAATTTTATTTCTACCTTACAACCTTAAGTATTAAATGCTTAAGACTAAAAATTCTGACAATACGGAAAAACAGGTGTCTTGCTTTATTTTTTTCCTATTAGTCACTGCCTCCATTGAGTATCAGTTGAAAGAATAATATAATTCATAACAAATTATTTTAATGAACACTAGTAACCACATGACACTAATCATCTATGAAGTCTAATTTGAAATCCTTTGCAGTTCCTACACTGCTGATAAGGAAAATACTCAAATTCTAGGAAATATCTTAAAGTGAGGAGTCCAAAGTACTAATTGTAAAATTGGAGAAATATTTGGCAGAAATTGAGGTCTTAAATTTTTTCCCACTTATCATATCTAGTTTTTAAGAAGAACTGAATGCTATAGCTCTGGCAACATAATAGCAGTTGAAAATACTTTCAGACTTGTCTCTGCTAGACTTAGAGAGACTCTTCAACTTTAGAAGGAGGGGAGTACCAAAGGTAGCTTAGGCAAACTAAGCTCTGCATTAACTTCAGAAAGATTCTAAACTTTGTCTTCTGGCCTTGAAGATAATGACCAGTCCAGAAATGTGTTACATAATACCAGAGATCAGAAGAGTAATGCCATCTATGCAGATGGGCTGCTTCTCTCCTTCACTATCTGAGGATATCCCTTCTCAGTTCTATAGCTGATCCAGGCTCCCTTATATACTCAAGATGACAAACAGATCACTTTAGGGGATGTATGTCTTCACTCAATAAGCATTCCGTGTCAAACATTCACCAAAAATTTATTAAGTGCTAACTATGAGAAGAATTATGTAAGGCACATGCAGAGGATACGAAGACATGTTAGACATTGATGTGAGCTAACAGAGTATAGATTATTATGAGGGGATTAAAATTACATTTTTCAATCTAGCTAAAGTAGAGTGACTTCCAGTTCCACCAAGATGTAGTAGCTCCACTACTTGCAAGTCTTCCGTCTTACAACTAAAACACCCTGGACCTAAAACAACAAACAAACATAGGAAGACTCAGAGGTGAAAGAAGAAAGCAGACTATCGAGAAGCTTTTGGACTTGAGAAATGATACAGCAGTGATTTTCCTTATTGTCTCCCATATATCCTAGACAGGGTGCTACAGAAGCTTCCCACCTACAACTGCCAATAGGCACAGGGTGAAAAAACCTCCAAGGAAAACCTGTTCCCTCTAGCTAAAGAATTAGGTAAGGGAAATAGAACAACTAAAAAGCTACTTGACACTACCCACCTACTCCAGCCAAACACCAGCGGCCCCACAGCACGCCTTGGAGGCAGGTAATGTGTTTGGACAAAAACAGATGGCAGGAATCAGATTTCTCTGCTGGGGTAGCAGTCCTGAGCAGGTAGTTGATCTTCTATTCTCCACCGGAGGAAGCAGGTAGTGCTCCAATTAATCTGCCAGGATAGCATCCATGTGGTCCAGCTGTGAGCTAATAAGCCTCTACCTCTACCCAGCATCAGTGGACTTAAACTGATTTGAGGTGGGACTAGTCGATGCTAGGTTTTATCCCTCTCCCTTTGCAGAGCTGAGTCTCCACCACTGGGCTAATTGGCATTCCCTTTTCTTTCCTTCTCCCTAGTTGGTGCCAGAGCTGCCTCTCTCCACCCTATAGCAACAAAGCAGTGTAAAGCAGCCCTTCTACACTTCACTTGAAGTAGGAAAAGAGCAATAGCAGTAGGCTATGTATGCATATTATAATACCTAGTACAACAACTAAGAAATCTACACAAATAGAGATACGCAAAAACACTGTAAGTCAAGATGATAATAAATGTTCAAATAACTCACACAAGGTAAGAAAAGAAACAGAAAACAAAATAATGAAATGGAAGATCTGATCACTAACATATCAGTAATTACCTTAAATGTAAATGGTCTAAATACACCAATTAAAAGAGACTGGGAGAGTGGATTTAAAAAATAAAACAAAAAAAAATGTGATCCAATAATAGTGCTATTTACAAGAAACTCAACTCAGTGTCAATAACACAGGTAGATTGAAAGTAAAAGGATGGTAAAAGATACATTATGCAAACATTAATAAAAGCAGGGGTGGCTATATTAATATATGATAAAATGGGCTTCAGAGCAAACTAAACTACTGGAGACAAAGAGGTACATTACTGATGATAAAAGGACCAATCTACCAGGAAGGCACCAAAACAATGTTATATGTACCAAAAACAGCCTCAAAGTACATGAAACAAAACCTGATAAAACTGAAAGGAATAGCCCTGGCCAGTTTAGCTCAGTGGTTAGAGCATCGGCCTACGGTCCAGAGAGACCCAGGTTCGATTCCCGCTAAGGGCATGTACCTTGTTTGCAGTTTGTTCCCTGCCCCAATTGAGTCGTGCAGGTGGCAACCACTCAATGGGTCCCTTTCATGTCGATGTTTCTCTCTTCCTCTCTCTCCCTCCCACTCTAGCTGAACAAAAAAAACAAAAAATGTCTTTGGATGAGGATAAAAAAAAAAAAAAAAACTGAAAGAAATAGAAAAATGTATAATTTTAGTTGGTGATTTCAACATCCAATCTCAGCAATTTATAGAACTCCTAGACAGAAAATCAACAAGGATATAGAAGACCTCTACAGTACCATCAACCAACAGGATCTGATCGATATTTATAGAACACTTCACCAGATAACAGCAGAATCCTTATGCTTTCAGGTGTCCACAGGAAATACACCAAAATAGATTACCTCCTGGGCCATAAAACAAACCTCAACAAATTTAAAAGAATTGAAATTATGCAGAACATACACTCAGATTGCATGGAATCAAACTAGAAAACAAGACTGCTAAAAGATAACAGGAAAATCTAAAACTTGAAGACTACACAACACATATCTAATTACTCCAAGGGAAATAAAAATACATTGCACTGAATTAACATGAAAATACAATATATCATAATTTGTGGACACAACTAAAGCAGTTCTGAGAAGAACTAATGTGCACATTAGAAAAGGTTGAAGTCTCAAATGAATAATGTAAGTTCTTAAGAACAAAGAAAAAGAAAAGCAAAATAACCCAGAACAAACAGTGGGAAATAATAAAGATTGGCTCTAAAAGGGCAAAATGAAGGATCCTTGGGATAAAACTACAGTATCTGGACTGTATCACCCTCAACATGCTGATTATTATACTGTCATTTTGTAGGATGATACCATTGTACCATTGCGGGAAGGTGGGTAAAAGGTACATGGGATCTTGTCTGTATCATTTTTTAGACCTGAATGTGAATCTGATTATGTCAAAAAGTTTAACTTTTTAAAAAGCACATAACTGTCCAATGGAGCTATTCTTCATAGGGATTTTGTTTGGTAACGAAGAACTTCACTGAAGACATAGTATAGAACTTAGGGTAGGTCAGATGAGATGAGAGAAAAGACAGGGCATCTAAGCTGGAAAAAAAAAAAGTATGAGCACTGTGAGTATTTGCATATAAGCTCTTGAGCCTATATATATATATATTTTTTTTAACTTGATCATGTCCCAAGAGTTTGTCATAAAAATATAAGTAATCTTTAATTGTAGAATGTTGATTTGTTTCATCTTAGGATGTGGTGTTTAGTAGGAAGCAAAAAATAAACATTTTTCTTTGGCCTAATTCAAAGTCAGTTCTACAGTAAATGTTTGGTAAATATTTGTTGGTGATCATTGCGATTTTAACAAAGAAGATTTACATAAAAGTGACATTTTCTACAAATTACAATAAGCACTTAATAAATGTTAAGTAACTGCTGTCAGTGAAGTCCATATAATAAACTTAATAACCAGCCAGAATCAGCTTGAGAACTTCAGATATTTTAGAAAAGAAAATCTAATTCTACCCTATCATGTTCATGAGAAAAATAGGACTGAGAAGTAATGACTGCCTGAACGTAGATAGTTGGTTCATATCCAAGCTTGGTGATAAGAACTATGCATACCTTATCCTCAGTTATTTACAAATGTAGGCCTTCTGTATTCCATGTCATCTCTGTCAACTCTAATCACCCACTTTAAACTGGAGCTGGGTAAAATATTGAAATTATGGAAGTATACAAAGGAAAGGAAGATTCCAGTTTTACAAATCTTACTACTTTTTAACTCGGCATTCTCCTGTATATTACCATAACAAACCTTGTATTTCATATTATTTATTTGAATATGTAACCTCTTTTGTATAAAAAGAGACCTGGTTTCTTTCATTACATTTTCAGTCCAACAGAACATTCACGAGAAGCTTAGAGTAAAGGTGCATCGGTAGTTTCTGAAATGTAGTAGTGAACAATCTAGCCAACATTTAAAGTCATTGTTTTAAGCCTTTACCATTCCAATAATTTATATTAACCAGTACTCCTGTATATCTCAAGTGTCTCAGTATATAGAAACTTAAATGTGCTTTTGCTATAAATCCCTTTATACTAAAGCAGATTAACAGGGTGATGTAAAAGCCTGGTTTGAAGAGAACAAAGGAGGCACATCAAAAATGGCATGTGAATAGATGTTAACTAAAAAGTATTACTTTGCATTTTTCTTTTTTAAATATGTTTTTTCTTTATTTTAGAGAGAGAGGAAGGGAGAGGGAGAGATAGAAACATCAATGAGAGAGAACATCGACTGGCTGCCTCCTGCATGCCCCCCACTGGGGATTGGGCCCACAACCTGCGTTTGTGTCCTGACCAAGAATCGAACCGGCGACCTTTTAGTGCATATGTTGATGCTCAACCACTGAGCCACACTGGCAGGGTATATTTTTCTTAATAGGTTCTTGCATACTAGTTTTAAGCTAATCACAGGTTATGCTTTATGATTTATACAAAATTTTACCCAAACTTCCCATAATTAGGTCATATGAGTAATTCCCAGTTTATCATTTTTATTAAAATTCTTATTTGCATAGTTTTATATATTTAAGGTCTGATTTCTTTCAGACCTTAAGTATTTAATAGTTTGCATGACTTGATGTAATATCTCTTTAAAGAACTTAAAGTTCTCAATCCCACCACAGGCCTAGAACATCAGAAGATACCATCTCTGTTTTCTAGTGAGTAAACTGAAGTACAAAGAATTAAAGACATTTTTCGGAGTCATTGAGCTGGAAGTACAAGATAAGATAACTATTCTCTTTGTCTTTCCAACTTATAACTTAGTTGAAAGTAGGGTTAGAATTTCCTTCTTTGTGAGGTCAGTAAATCAGACATCAGAAATAAGATACATTTCAGAAGGACTAGGTTTCAGTTTCGTTATTTTCAGGCTCAACATTTGTGGCCCAAGATGGGCATACTTAATCCTTCCTCATCTATAAATGGAGCTGTTCTGACTATATTAATAACAAATAATTTCTAACATTTTATGACTTTCTTCTTTGCTTAGATTACAGCGTCAGAGCCATGCTAAAGATAATGAAATCAAGAACCTTAAAGAGCAACTTTCCATGAAAAGGTACAGACAGTTGTTATTTTGGTTGAGTGCACCCTCTTGGAAACTATATATTCCACTCAGCATGTTCTGGCTAGGGTAACCATATAATTTATCATCCAATCTGGAGCACTTTGAGCCTGAAATTGAGCAGTATTCATAAGTACACTGGGACAACAGGTATAAACTGGAAGTGTCCTCCACAAATTAGGAGATATGTTCAACTTTAGCCCTGGCCCTAGAAAACTGCTGAGACAGAATAAATCAGCCAAATTATGGTCTCACAACACACTATTGTCAGGGACTCAGCTTACTGAGTTCTTATCTCTTGATCCTAATTAATACAAACTGGGTGTGACTGCTTAATGAAACTGGCTTAAATTTTTTTTCATTCATAGATTCGCCAATAGGTAATTTTTTTATAACAGCTTTTTTGAGATCTGATTCATACAGCATAACATTTACCCTGTTAAAGTACACAATTCATTGGTTTTTAGTATATTCACAGAAGTGTAAAACCATCACCACTATGTAATTCCATAACATTTTTATCACCCTAAAAAGAAACCCTGGATTCATTAGAAGTCTCTGCTCATTCTCTCTTCCCCCAGCTTCTGGTAACCACTAATCTATTTTTTGTCTCTGGATTTGCCTGTTCTGGACATTTCATATAAATGGGATCATTTAATGTGTGATATCTGGTAATTAACGACTTTCACTTAATACAATCTTTTTCAAGGTTCATCCATGTTATAGCATGTCCTCATTCCTTTTTGTGGGTAAATAATATTCCATTGTATTCTGTTAGAACATTTGTATACAAAATTTTATGTGGACATGTTTTCATTTCACTTAGGTATATACCTAAGAATGCAATTGCTAAGACATACAGTAAACTCTGTTTAACTTTTTGAGGAACTGCCAAACTGCCAGATCAGTCCACCAATTCACAGTCTCACCAGCAATGGATGAGAGTTCTGATTTCTCCACATGCTCACCAATACTTATTGGATTATCCATCTTATTTTACCCATTGTAATGGATGTGAAGTGGTAAACCATTGTGGTTTTCACTTGCATTTTCCTAATGGTTAATTATGTGGTGCATCTTACCATGTGTTTATTGGCCATTTGTGTATCTAATTAGAGAAATGTCTATTTATATCCTTTGATCATTTTTTAAATTGGGCCGTTTGTGTTTTTACTGTTGAGTTTTAATTGTTCTTTGTATGTTCTGGATACAGTGCCTTATCAGATATTTGCAAATATTTCTCCCATTCTGTGGATTGTCCTTGCACCTTCTTGATGATGTCCTTTGAAGTACAAAAGTTTTTATTTGAAGTCCAATATCTATTTTTCTTTTGTACCTGTAGGCAAATTTTCTACACTCTTCAATGGTATAATAATTCTCTTGGTTGAGTTAATATATCTCGAATATTTTATGATTCCCCCCCCCAAAACACTCTCACGTTAATGGTATTAACAATATATTGTTTTATCAAGTTTCTCATCAATGTTTATCTCAAGTATCCAGATGTTTCTAATAATAAATAATTGAGGATAGCTTTTGTGAAAGTTCCCTGTTACCATGTTACATTTACAATTTATTGTTTACATTTAAGACATTAGTTTGTATGCTCTAGAGTTCTGGGGCTCAAGCTGAAATGAGATAAGAAAAAGAGAAACCTCACAGGTAGCCATTTTCCATAATGTCCCTGATAAATAATGTCCTGTCATTATCTTCCTCCCTCTTAAGCTATAGGATTTGTTTTCATTCTCAGGTGTTGAAAGTAGGCACTGAGGTAACAGTAAATTATTTTTATGCAGTGACCTAGCTTATTGACAGGGATAATAAAAACCTCAGTAGTTGCTATTGTTGGATTAAAAAAAGGTTTGTAGAACCTTTCTGTAAAGTTTATTAATAATGATAATGCCTGGCATTTATTGAACACTTACTATGTGCCAGACACAAAGTGCTTAATGTATATTATCTGAATTAATTTTCACTATAGCTCTTTGAGGCAAATAATACAATTTTCTCCATTTTTACTTGTGAGGAAACTGAGGTATAGAGAAGTTCAGTAACTTGCCCAGGGTTTCACATTTAATAAATTGTGGAACTCAGATTCATTCTCAGACAACATGATTTGAGAGCCACGTTTAAAGAAAATATATTTTTCTTTATTGATTTACGAGAGAGAAGAAGGGAGAGAGAGAGAAACATTGATGAGAAAGAACATCGATTGGCTGCCTACTGCATGCCCCCACACTGGGGATCAGGCCCACAACCTAGGCATGTGCCCTGACCAGGAATTGAACTGGTAACCTCTTGGTGCATGGATTGACACTCAACCAATGACCCATACCAACCGGGTGAGAGCCAAGTTTTAAATGATTACATCCATATATACAACTTTAAAACTTCCATGTTCTTTTTCTTTTTTTTTAAATTAATTTATTTATTTTTGTTACAGATGTATCTCCTTTTCCCCCCACTGATACCCCCCTCCCAGGCCTTCCCCTCTCAGTTCCCAGCTTTGTTGTCAATGTCCATTGTTCATGCATACATGCATATAAGTTCTGTGGTTTCTCTCTCCCTCACCACCCCCTCTTTGGGGGATTGTCAGTCTGTACCCCACTTCCATGTCTCTGGGACTACCCCATTACACAGACTGTTATGTTCATTGTATTCCACAAATAAGTGAGATCATGTGATATTTGTCTTTCTCAGCTTGGCTTGTTTCGCTGAGGATAATACTCTCCAGGTCCCCCCATGTCGTCTCAAAGGATAAGAGATCTTTCTTTTATACAGCTGCATAGTACTCCATTGTGTATATGTACCATTGCTTTTTTATCCATTTGTCTACTGATGGACATTTGGGATATTTCCAGATCTTAGCTATTGCAAATAGTGCTGCTATGAACATGGGGGTACAGATATTCTTTCTGATCAGTGTTTCAGGCTTCTTACGGTATATTCCTAGAAGTGGAATCACTGGGTCAAATGGCAGTTCAATTTTTAATTTTTTGAGTTAACACCATATTGTTTTCCATAGTGGCTGCACCAGTCTGCATTCCCACCAGCAGTGTACTAGAGTCCCCTTTTCTCCACACCCTCGCCAACACTTGTTGTTTGATGATTTGTTGATGGTGGCCATTTTGACAGGTGTGAGGTGATACCTCATTGTTGTTTTAATTTGCATCTCTCTGATGATTAGTGATGTTGAGCATTTCTTCATATGTCTCTTAGCCATTTGTATGTCCTGTTTGGAGAGGTGTCTATTCAACTCCTATGCCCATTTTTTAATTGGGTTCCTTGTCTTCCTTTTGTTGAGCTGTATGGGCACTCTATATATATTGAAAATTAACCCCTTATCTGATGTATCATTGATAATTACGCTCTCCCATAGAATGGGTTGCCTTTCTATTTTGGTGGTTCTTTTGCTGTGCAGAAGCTTTTGAGTTTGATGTAGTCCCATGTGTTCATTTTCTCCTTTGTTTCTGTTGCCTTAGGTGATGTATCAGTGAAAATTCTGCGTATGAAATTTTGTTGCCTACATTTTCTTCTAGGATTTTTATGGATTCATGAGTCTCATTTTTTATCCATTTTGAGTTTATTCTTGTGTATGGTATCAGTTGATGGTCTAGTTTTATTATTTTCTTTTTGCATGTAGATGTCCAATTTTCCCAACACCATTTATTAAAGAGGCTGTCTTTACTCCACTGTATGCTCTTGCCCCCTTTGTCAAGTATTAATTGAGCATAATGTCTTGGGTCCCATTTCTGGGTTCTCTTTCTATTACATTGATCTATCTGCCTGTTCTTGTGCCAGTAGCAGGCTGTTTTCATTACAGTCGCCTTGTGGTATAACCTGAAGTCTGTTAATGTGATCCCTCCAACTTTGTTGTTCTTTTTCAAGATTGCTGTGGCTCTTTGGTGTCCTTTTTGATTCCATATGAACTTTTGAAGCATTTGTTCTAGTTCTGTGAAGTATGTCATTGGTATTTTGTTAGGGATTGCATTGAATCCATAGATTGCTTTGGGTAGTATGGGCATTTTAATGATACTAATTCTTCCAATCCATGAACAAGTATGTGCTTCCACTTTTTTATATCTTTCTCTGTTTCTTTTTTCAATGACCTGTAGTTTACTGCGAATAGGTCCTTTATTTCTTTGGTTAAGTTTATTCCTAGGTATCTTAATTTTTTTGCCGCGATGGTAAATGGGATTGTTTTTTCAGTTTCTCTTTCTGTGAGTTCATCATTGGTATATAAGAATGCCGTCGATTTCTTGATGTTAATTTTGTATCCTGCTAGTTTTCCAAATTCATGTATTAAGTCTAGTAAATTTTTGATGGAGTCTTTGGGGTTTTCTACGTATTGTATCATGTCATCTGCAATTAATGACAGTTTCACTTCCTCCTTTTCAATTTGGATTCCTTTTATTTATTTATTTATTTTTTATTTTATTTTATTTATTTATTTATTTATTTTTTTATATTTTATGAATTTTTATTTATTTTTTTGTTACAGATATTTTACCTTTTTACCCCATTGGCACCCCCCACCCTACCCCCCCTCCACCCTGTCCCCGGCTTAGTTGTCCATGTCCATTGGTCATGCATACATGCATATAAGTTCTGTGGTTTATCTCTTCCCACCCCCTTCCACCCCTCATCCCCTCTTCTGAGGGATGTCAGTCTGTGCCCTACTTCCATGTGTCTGGGTCTACTGTATTCCTCAGACTGTTATGTTCATTATATTCCGTATATAAGTGAGATCATGTGGTATTTGTCTTTTTCTGCTTGGCTTCTTTCACTTAGTATAATACTTTCCAGATCCCTCCATGTCATCTCAAAGGATAAGAGATCTTTCTTTCTTACCGCTGCATAGTACTCCATTGTGTATATGTACCACAGCTTTTTGATCCATTCGTCTACTGGTGGACACTTGGGCTGTTTCCAGATCTTAGCTATTGTAAATAGTGCTGCTATGAACATGGGGGTACATATATTCTTCCTGATTG